AGAGATTTGTCGACTGCTCCCCGGGAACATGCACCCAGCCTGTATACTGTTTCTGCTGGCCGAATGCTGTGTTGCATGCGCCCCGTGGCTCCTTGTATGAGATGGTGATGCTACTGTCGGCTGGCGACGTTGCTACCGTCAAATTGAGTGAATTGAGGTCGGAGACTGGGAATTGGGCCACAGACTGCGAGGCCAAGGCTGCCAATAAGGCCGCGAGCCGCACAATCATCTTGCCAGAGCTCTGAGAGAGGGGAAGCTCCATTTCCGTTGACTCAAATCATGTCACACGTGGTACTGGCGTCTATCTCTGACGCGAGGCCAATTCGAAAATAGCGTCGCAGGAGCAAGAAAGCGAGAGGCTGCAGATGGACGACAGATCACAGCAAAAGAAAAAAAGGAAAGGAAAAGGAAAAGGAAAATGGGAGCAGGGGATGGCCAAGGAACAAGAAGCGACAAAAAAAAGAAAACGAAAGACAAAACTCAATTGGAGAGAGGTAATTCCGTGCTGAGATGCTGCAGAGGTCTGGTGCTCGAGTTGCAAGACCGGATTCAGTTGGCAGGTTAGAAGGCTCAACAGTCGCCACGCTGATTCGCCAGTCGACAGACGATCCGCCCGCATGTAACGACACCTGAAGCCACGCTGAATTCTAGGCGGTCAGGGGGGCCCAACGGTTGAAACAGCGGTATAGTGCCCCAGAAACCGCCGCCAACATTGGACAGTAGACACCAGTTGACATCAATTGATGTATATGTACCTGCACGGGTGCTCGTCAACCACTAGATACCTACCTAGGTACCTAGGTACTTAAGTAGGTAGTGGCTGCTCCCGATGTCACCACTTGCATAACATTGTACACCCTGGATGTGCAACTTCACGATGATGTTCCAAATCTCGTTGCGTTACGCTCTACGCCAGGACTTGTGACTCCGACATGAGCCCATCTTGGATAAACCTCTAGTTACCAAGTACACGCCAGGCGTCTACCTACCTAGGTATCAAGGTAGGTAACTAGTGGGTGTTTATTATACTCGCGACATCGGCAAGCTGCCTATCCACAGTTCGACAACTTGCACGAATAGCACCATCAAATTTACAGCCAACTGTGTAGCATGTTCAAGGATTAGTTTGCTTTTGGTATAGTACACTGAGAGTACACAAAAGTACACAGACGTGATGGTACACGCGTTCACATCCAGACACATCCAGCAGAGCCAGAATGTCACAGCGTCCGCATTCCTCGGGCATATTGTTTCGCCATCGTGTGCCTTTCCAGCCCGACTGAGCTCCGAAAAGACACATCAAGAAACCACACCTGCCCAGATGGCTAGTCGCTCCTCCTCACAGCAAAAAAGTAATTGCCGACCTTCTCACCGCCGCGGACCTCCTTCCACCCGAGGCCCGGAACATACACGACGCCCATGACCCTAGGGCTATCCCACCCCTTGTCGAGGAAGAAACGTCGTAGCTCGTCTTCATTGATGTACTTGTTCCAGTCATGCGTGCCCGGCGGGACAATGCGCAAGAGGTGCTCCGCAACCAGGTTCGTCGTGAACCAGCTCACCCACGTCCTTGCAATGGTGCTCATGACCAACCAGCCGCCGGGCTTCACAAACGGCCGGACTCGTTCCAGGAACGGGCCCGGCTCGTCGACATGTTCAATAACCTCGAACAAACTGACAATGTCGTAGGCGTCGCAGGGTTCCTGAGGCACCTCAAGGTCTTCAATGGAGCTCTGCTGGTAGAAGAGCTTGCCGCTCAGCGACGGGTCCTTCTTCGCGTGCGCCTTTGCAACAGCCAGGACGGACGGCGTAGGGTCAATGGCGGTGACTCGCCTCGTCGTGGGTAGTCGCGCGGCGCTTTCAGCAAAGATGCCGCCTCCGCACCCGATGTCGAGGTAGCTGAGGGATGCGTCTCGCAGCCTCGAGGCCTTTGTGTCGGGTTGGGACTGCAGGCAGGCTCGGATGAAGTCTTGTCGGACGGGATTCATCAGGTGAAGCAGACGGGATGACCCATGGGGATCCCACCATTCGGAAGCGAGGGAGTTGAAATGGGAGACTTCCTCAGGGTTGACGGACGAGAAGGTCGAGTGCCATTGTCGCGAATCGGGTCGGAAGGGTTTGCTTGATGGTTTGGCCAGCCATTGGTAGTGCGTGTGTAGAGATGCTGCAGCTTCTCTTGGCCTTGACAGTCCGAGGACGCCGCGGGCCGCCCTCAAAGTTGCTGACATTGACAATTGGGCCAGTGTTGCCGACAAACAGGGCCGGTTGAGAGGTGGTGGTGAGCTTCAAATCGAATGTTGAGCCTGTTGAACGATGGACTACTTGGAGAATGGCAACAGGGTTTGGACCCGAGACCCACTTTCCGCTAGCAGGCGCCTTCCAGGGGTGCAGAATGACTACTCGGTAACCTACGTGCCTACTCGGTACCCGGTCCTCTGCAGAGCGGGCAGTCAGGTCGAATAGTATTACCAAAATAGGCCATTCTGTTTGTCAATATTTTGTGTACTCAATGCTAGTTGCCATCCATTTGGGATGACGTGGCAATCCCGAGCCCTGGCTTCAGCTACCGGACCGCTCTGCCGTGAATGTCAAACTATTCTCTGACGTGGGCTGTGGAAGCGGCAGCACGCAGGTTGGGCAGGTCGTTTCGAGCATGGAAATAATGGCCAGGGAGCGTGACGTGAGTGCGAGATAAAGGGCGGCAAAGATTGCCTCGCGACGGCCTGCTTATTCGCGGGATCCCAATCGGAGGTGGCCTCGACGAGACAGACCCTCGGTCGACGGCCCCGGACGACAGCACGACGTCCGCGCCGCGGCATGTTCGGCGGGCACACCGAGGCAGACTGGAGCAGACGAGCCGAGCACACCAGACTGTATGTACATACACTCATGGGCCCGCCGCTGCTTACAGAGCAAAGAGCCCCTCCATCCCCGCCCCTCATCCTTACGGGCAGCACATTGAAGTCAATACGACTCATGCCGCGCGCGCGCGACCTCAAATGGTTTGGTAAGCCGCACGTCAGCTTTTGTATCCGGTACTGCAGAGCCAGCGTGGCCGCGCAAGAAGGCTTTGGAGAACAGCGGGCAGTGCATGGCTTTTGTGCTCGTCAAGAAGGCATCTGCAGTCGGAACCGGGTCTTGACTCTCACCTCCAATGCCATTACAAAGCCGCCGTGAGGGACAGTCAGGGCCGAAGCCTTGTGCCGTTCCGTGGATGAATTCATTCACATGCCTCCAACTCTGTGGCGCCCAGAGTACCAAGTACTACAAGCATTGCCCCCCCGCCAGTCTAAACCAGCCAGGCGTAAGGTCATGGAACGGGGCAAGCAGTCAAGCCATTGACATCGGACGCCGAGTTGGCCCGCAAAACCTTGTTCCAGTGGACCTCTTAGCATTAAACCGTACTTTACATATGTATCTTGATGCCGAGTCTTTCCCCCAATTCCTCCGCGCCAGCCGCATCACCATCAGTGCCCAGCGACGCGAGCAGAACAAAAACCCCGAGACGGACCTCGCCGTTGTGCCTCCTCAATTGCCATTACACAGCTTCTCTCCAGCATTGAAGAGTTCAACTTTGGCGGCCTTGAAAATCTGCGCTGAATCTTCCGTCACAAGCCGGACCGCACGGAGTCCACCTCGACCATCACCCCGCGATACCCTCACATCTTAAAAAAAAAAAAAGAAATCATCAACACCCCCGCCAACATGCCTGCCTCCACGATACCCGCCAGTCAATTCGACTCCATCCCCGACACAATCGAGGCCTTCCGTAAGCAACAATTTTTTTTTAATCCTAGCCATGCCCTCTTCCGTTCACTCCGATCATTGCTAACTGAGCCCGCCCTCAAACAGGCCGAGGCGAATTCATCCTGGTGCTCGACGACCCCGGCCGCGAGAATGAAGCCGACCTAATCATCGCCGCCGAGGACGTCACCACCGAGCAAATGGCCTGGATGGTGCGCTACTCATCCGGCCTCATCTGCGCCCCCATCATGCCCTCTCGCGCCGACGCCCTGCAGCTGCCCGTCATGGTCCCGGCCAGCCAGGACGCCCGAGGCACCGCCTACACCATCTCCGTCGACGCCGCCCACGACTCCGTCACCACGGGCATCAGCGCCCACGACCGCGCCCTCTGCTGCCGCTTCCTGGCCGACCCCAAGTCCACCGCGGCGAGCTTCATCCGCCCCGGCCACATCTTGCCCCTGCGCGCTGCCCCCGGCGGCGTCCGCCAGCGCGTCGGCCACACCGAGGCCGCCGTCGAGTTCTGCCGCCTGGCAGGCAAGAACCCGGCCGCCGCCATCGCCGAGCTCGTCGAGGACGGCGAGCCTACCCCCGGCCAGCCCATCATCACCCGCGCCGGCATGATGAGGGGCGAGGCCAACATTGCCTTTGCGAGAAAGTGGGGGTTGAAGGTCTGCACCATTGCTGATCTCGTTGAGCATGTTGAGAAGACTGAGGGCAAGCTCAAGCCCAAGCTGAATGGTGCATGAGAGAAAGGGAAGAAGAAGAAGAAGAAGAAGAAGAAAAAAGAGAAAGAAAGACGGAAGCAAAAAAAGACGAGGAAACCAAGGGGGAGGGTTGGAGGGAGCACGCAAGCAGCTGTCGTGGCTCGGACAAGTGAAGCAAACTCATCATATGCTGTGGACAATACACCAGCTGTTGGTTAGGCATTTGAACAACTGTATCTACCTACTCCTGTTGATGTACGGTATGGGTGTTTTTTTTTTCCTTTTAGTTTTTTGCTACGGGTATGCATATTCCGTCCTTTGATTTTGACTACTTTTTGGTAGATGGATTGCGGAAGCGACTGATTGGTCTTGTGTATAATGCATAGACTTGAGGCATACTATCCAATTATTATTCTATTTTATTTTTTGTCTGCAGAGAATGGATAGCACCCAAGAGCCTTGGTGCGATGACCACTTTATCATCGTACAAGCGCGATGCTAGACTTGTCAAGTCACTGTGGCCCCGTCAAACTTCCACGCCAATCAACATGCCTACGCCATGAAATCATCCTCTATACTTCCCCTCGACGTAGCAGGCGCCGAACTCAAACTCATCCCCGCCGCTCTCTGCAGCAAATCCTTTTCATCATCATCCACCTCAACGACGCCTGTCCTCCCTACCGGCGGGGCCGTCCTCGACCGTACCTGCACTTTAATATCACCCTGAATACCATCCACTCTAAGTGTCGAGACGGCTGTCCCTGCCGGCGGAGGCTTCAAGTTCGGTTGCGGCGCCATACTGACTAGCTCTCTGAAGAAATTGTTGGCTGCCTCACATCCATCTAGCAGCCATTTGAGACAGATGGTTACACGTTCCTTTGCAAACGGGTTATGGTCATCATACGCACAGCTATTAAGTAGTGGTACGATGCCGTTATATTTAACCATCTGGGACTGAACCTGGCTGTTTCCAGGGCTGGACTGCCCTGGTGGTGGTTGCAGGAGCGTGGCCAATATGGTGAAGATTTGGCCTTTGACGCAGGGCCAGGGGTACTTGTGAGCTTGCTCTTCGATGTCAGGTGGCGGCGGAGATGGCGGCGGAGATCCTGCTTCTGTTGCATAGGGGCGCTCAACCATGGGGTCTGTAGCCGTAGTTGGTGTGAGATAGGATGCTGTGGATGGCGACCGCTTGGGGAGTTCGATCAACGGCTTCTTAGCTACACCGGCTTCGAGGCCACTCAGGATAGTGATGAGGTCGTAGATGGCTTCCCATTCGATCAATTTGGCACGCGTGTCCATCATTTCAGCCACAGTAGTGAGGAAGTCGAGGTATTGCCCAAGGCCATCCTTAGCACGTTCCATGTCCCACGTATCGACTGGAAACTCGGCTGCATCACACCTGTCTTCGCGAATTTGAGCCTGCAGGTGCATGAGGGCAGCACATTCGGGAACAATGCGGCTGCGAAAGTAGCTGAAGAAAAAGTGGACGAGCTTGATATCCCGAGAATTATCTTTATCGTGTGAGGGGTTATCTTTGGCATTGGTAGTGGAAGCGCTAGTATTGGCAGCAGCCGGGTTGTTGTTGTTGTTACTGTTGTTGGCGGCGTTGTTGCTGTTGTTGTTCACTCTGGCTCGAAACATGTGGTTAACCAGTCGTAGCAGCACAGTTTGTGCTGGGGATATGATATCCTTGGGAATACGAAGCCAGTTCCAAGCGTACGGGATCAAGGCGCTGTGGTGAAGAGCCTCGACGATCTGAGTCGTGACTTGAAATATGAGCGACTGCTCATCCTTGTTCCAGACAGCGATGAAGACGAGGAGCTCTCGCAAAAGACACTTGCCGCAGTCGAGTGCCAAAAACATCCTGCATCTTGTCTTTTGCAAGTTTTCGCCAGCTCGGGTAAGACCAGACCCGGCGTTGTCCAGGATACATGACTTGACGATCATATGAAGGGCTTCAATCTGCTTTGGGTCCAGAATATTGGGTACTTCGGTGAGGAGACCAGTCAGTGGGCCATCGCCGTACGACTCGTCGTCGTCGGCATCCTCATCGTCAATCATGTCGTCGACGTAGTCGTGCACGTAATCATGGTCATGTTCATGCTCGTGATCATGATGGTGATGGTGGTGATGATGATGATGGTGGTGATGGTGATGATGATGCTCACACTCCGGGTCATGTTCATGCTCATGTCCGTGGTCATGGTCATGGTCATGGTCATGTTCATGATCGCTGTGTTCACATACAGGTTCGTCGTCATGCTCATGCTCGTGCTCGTGCTCCTCATCTTCTTCATCGTCATGATGATGGTGACACTCGTGGCATTCTGGGCAATGATGACAGTGCTCATGGTCTGAAAGCTCATCGTCCGCCGCCTCCGGAGGTGGTGAGTGATCTCCCCTGTATGAATGAGCATACCGATGGATCAAATTCGTCTTGCAGTGTTCGGTTCTTGATTGAGCAAGCTCCACAGATGGCATGCTGACCACCCATTGCTCGTAGTTGGGATCACGAGCACGTAACCACCAAGTATCTATTTCCCTAGATACACGCCCGTACGCCCTGTCCTGTTCAAAGTTGTCCGTCTCATCAGGCTTCCAGACGGGATTCATCTTTTCATTGCTGTCCTCCAAGTCGCCAGGCATGTTGACTGAGCCTTCGGGGAGCCAGTTCCAAGCCAGTGGTCGAATAGGTGCCAAGTTACCTGGCGGCTTATCTGCGTGGTTCTGGGCGTAGTCCTTGAGAAGTTTTCTCGCAGCATCGCACATTCTTGAGTTGCGGTCGAGCCAATGCTGAACTTGTTGCTTGGCCACATCCGGCCGGAAGCCAGATCCGTCACCTAAACCATCTTCATTGCCGCCAAAAGCGCCTTCATCTTCGTCGAAAAGTACGTCGAACCAGAATGACATCTTGTTGCGGTCGTGCTTGGCAGTCCAATTATGTGCTTGCTGAAGCGACGTAACCAACAATTTTTTATCTGACAGCTAGAATTCAGTGACAGTTCCAGTATACATTGCCCATTCCCAGCCAAGACAGGGAGAGAGGGAACGACTCACATAATTCTGTAATATCAGCCAATTTTAACCTTTGCGTCTCATCCAAAATCTCCCCATCGTATCCCTTACTGGTGACGTTGACGCACAGAATAATTGTCTGATAGACCATCTGATCAAAATGTACAGCGGCGCAAATATCCTGAGGGACCTCTGGCTCTGCATTGACCAGCAAGTTCCTTGCAATGTGCATCAGCTTGATCAAGGTTCCAAGATCCTCCTTGATAGACGCATGATTCATAACAATCAAGGCAGTGCTTTCTTGAGGGCTCACTCCCCTGTCCGGGTCGTTCAAGCTGGACAGAGGTCCTACCGATCTGGTGGTTAGACTAGGGATGGCAGCGGCAAATATCCTTGTGAGCCATATCCATATGGCCACATTCCGCGAGAGCGCCTCGCTTTTGCGAAACCAGTCAGCCAAGAGGGTTTGAGGAATGACGAGAGTGCACGAAGGGCAAGATCTGCTTACCGGGCTGTCCTAAGCGTATGGGTCTTCTCGAGAGTCTTTGATATCATAGAGTTCACGCGAGCAGCTGTCTGAGGCCCCATGGGAGGAGACTGTGTGAAATGGCCCTCGAGACAGATGAGAGCGGCGGAGAAGCACCGTTCCTCAATAGACTCCCCGTTGTCGTCCCCTTTGCCGGGAGTCGGCCCCGCATAGTCCGACAGCTGTGTCATGGTGGCCGTGGGATGTAACGAGCTATATTTGCGGCAGGAACAGGCGCCAGTTGGCGATGGACGAGACCAAAAACAGCAAGCACATGCAAGTTTGGTGTTTCTGGCGGTGGGTGAAGGTCGACGTACATCCAAAAGTTTTGGTGGAGCCGGGCAAAAAAATATGCAGGTGCCGTGGTGGTGGTCGTTGGCGTGGTTGGTTGGTCAGCATGGAGTACCGAGGTACCTACCCAGTAGGCCGTACCTATTAGGGACCAGGTAGACATGGCATTGGATGTTTGGAAAATACTGACAAGTCCTGCAGGCTACGGAGTACAGAGGTCAGATTACACGAGGGAAGTAAACATTTTAACGGAGAAGAAGACAGCCCGGAATAACACGTCAACTTGTTTCTCTAATCCCCAAGCTCGGGCACCCATTACCAGGAATGCAGGGACCCCTAGCGCCGCTTCCACGTTCAAATGTTCGTCAGTGGTCACCATCCAGCCTATCAACAAAACATGTGCCCCTGATGCCCCTCCATGGCGGGGTTGTCCGTCCGCCATCTGAATCGAAATCACATCATCGCGGCCTTGAACCTTCTGATTTTTTTATCCCTCCTCCAATTTCTGAGGACGGTTCATGCCAGGCACGCCGTTTGGGCAGAGAGCAACACATAGCTTGAAGCCGTCGCCATGACCCATCTTCCCACTACGTTCGACAGTACGATTCCAGTACCCCTCGTCCCGTGTCGTCGCCAGCTTGTTGCTGCTTGCGTTCAACACAACTGACTTCTTCTCAGAACCCGTCCACATTGCCGTCATTGGCGGCACGGGACTCGGACATCTCGAGGGCTATGAGCCTATTGCTGTCGTCAACCCCATCACTCCTTGGGGCCCTCCCGCCTCGCCTATCAAGATCCTCTCCCACAATGGCACCTACATTGCCTTTCTTGCCCGACACGGTCTGCACCACCAATATGCGCCGCACGAGGTCCCCAACAGAGCCAACATTGCTGCCCTGAGGCATATAGGTGTTCGCTGCGTGATTGCCTTCTCAGCCGTGGGCTCGTTGCAGGAGGAGATTAAGCCAATGGACTTTGTTGTCCCCGATCAGGTCATCGATCGCACCAAGGGCATTCGACCCTTCACCTTCTTTGAGGGCGGTGTAGTTGGTCATGTAGGCTTTGCAGACCCCTTTGATGCGGGATTGGCTGCCGTTGTTAAGCGTTGCGCAGAGAGTATGGAGGGCGATGGCGTCGTTTTGCACGAGAAGGGCACTGTGATTGTTATGGGTAAGTGTAGCCGTCATGCGCAAGGACATGCAGCGCTACAAGACATGTCTTGAAATGTCTTCCGCTGTACTGACCAATTGTTTCCACAGAGGGACCTCAGTTCTCTACCCGAGCTGAATCTCACATGTATCGATCATGGGGCGGATCCGTCATCAACATGTCCACGCTTCCCGAGGCCAAGCTGGCCAGAGAAGCCGAGCTCTCCTACCAAGTCATCGCCATGGCCACCGACTACGACTGCTGGCACTCGTTCGAAGACGTCAATGTCGACATGGTCATAAAATACATGCACCAAAACGGTAAAAATGCCAAGCGATTGGTTGGCGCAGTTTTGGACCAGCTCAGCAACATTGAGCACAGTGACTTGGTCATGGCTAAGAAATGGGAAGGCTACTCTCAGGGAGGTCTCAAGTTCATGACCAAGCCCGAAGGTAGAGACCCCGATGCCGCAAAGAAAGTCGAGTATCTATTCCCCGGCGTTTGGGAGTCATAGGTGAAAAATGCGTGAGCAAAGCACATGATATAGATTTGATCAAAAATGCGGTGGTATTAGAAACGCCTCACATAGACAATATATCTATGCGGTAGTTTTTGTTATCATCTGAGTGGCACTAGCGTATTGGGCGACTTGGACAATACTTCGATTGCAGAGCGACTAGCTGAACAAAGATTATTCATCAATATAAGATCTGGATTCATTCTTCAACAGATGGGAGAGATAGGATTACATAGAATCTCATGAAAGTAAAGGCATTCAAAAACGGATATGTATCTCGGCCTGTACGCTTACTCACATACCTGTCTGTGTAAGAGCTGTGACTACGTACAACCTAGGTGTCACGCACCAATGTCCTCGTACACTTGTCTCTGTAAGGGCTTTGATGACATACAAACTACCTAGGAAGAAGTAACACACCAAATCCCTTGCACACCAATTCCTCGTGGCCGGCGGGTTGCAGGCCTACAATATCCAAACGTGTCTTTTTCCAACTGTCTCTCGCACTCACCCGATGGCGAGGCTGGGTGACGTATCATCAGTCACCATGCTCTCCGTCTGTAACTCACGCCTCTCTGCACGAAGCTTACTCGGAGAGCTGGACGGAAGCACGTGGAGGCAGCCACCACCAGCTCCCAGGCAAGGTCGATCAACGACATCACATCAGATTGCTGCCGCCGCAACCACAGGCCCATCCTCCCCGACTGGCCACACGACAGAACCCTCTTTGACAGCCACCCGTACCCTCGATGTAATGCAACCCCAGCCTGCATGCCCCTGGTGTACAGCCTCTCGCAGTTGTCTCAACATGTCGTGATTCCGACTGAACGGTTCACATGCAAGCCTATTTCACGGCCAATCTGGAAACGTGGCAGCGTATGCCGGTACTGCAAACGATGCAGTGTTACCGAAAATCGTCGCAACCGGGGACAATACGATGCTATAATGGCGTGACATTCATGGAGAGTAAGATCGAGTCGGTTGTCCAAATACGGTTGACAACGAGCTCCCCGCCACAATGATATCATGTTCCTTGGCAGGACTGCTGCATTATTGCTGCAGAGTCCAGTCCTGGGTAGGGGCACATCTGACGCATCATGGAGACGTATACTATATTGCAGCATACTGCATGTGATGTTGGCACATTCTCTTGCCGAATACGCCTTGTTCCCTGCCGTGTTCTGAGCCAAACACGGCAGCCTGCTTGTCAGAAAATAGAGCCATCAACTCGGACCTCTGAACGAACACGGCACCTTGTTTCTGATTGACTTACGGAGTACTCATATATTATCTTGCCCTGGAAAAACGGACAAAGAAGGTGTCGGTTCTCCATGTCTATGGCCCGACACAAGCCAATGTGATACTGCCCAACATGGAGAGCGACCACGGAAAATGAGATGAAGCAACTCGTCTTTTCCAATTCACCCCAGAACTGAATCCAGTGGGTTATCTTTAGCTCTGGCTTCCGGTACGTCATCAACATCCTTGACTGTCTTCCCGTGCCCTTATGGGATGGCAGCGGTGAATGCCATTATTGGCCAACTAGCAGATCAGCTCGCCTGCTCTTCACGAGCCACGATAGTCTCCAACATCAGCCTCAACGCGTCTAGTGACATTATGAGCTTCAGAAGTCGCCGCTAGATGCGATTGAGAGATTAATGTTTGACCCTACCCGCTGTAGATGTGATATCCAGAGTCGTCCATCACCTTGGCGGCAGGGGAAGCTTAAACCCGAACAGGGTCGAGTGATCTGGCCGCAGCGATATCCCGTCACACACTACAGAACTTATGCTCAAAACCGACTGAGACGTTTCGTCACTGGTGCTTCTTGGCTTGACCATTTTACCCGCAACTACTCCGTGGGCACAAGTCCTAATGCACAACAATCGAAAAAGCACATCACAGCATCGTACCATCCTTGCTTCCGCAGCCATCAGACTCCTTGCTGGCCATGACTTGTCATATTTATTTGGTCATTTGAGTTGCGGGCGCACGACGCCCCGCCCGCTAGCAATGCGCGAATGACGCCAGAATAGTTACGAAATGTGCTGTTAAGAGACAAGAGCTCATCTCGCAACAAATACGGTCCTGCATTGAGTGGTCCCAAAGACGCAAATAGCGATTCCCGTAATAGCCACGTCAGTTATTGGTTACGGAAGTCTGCCCCGTCTTCAACTCCGCGGCAACAACCCGCGTTGACATGGCTCGGCAAGTTGTGACGACTTTGCGGCCAAAGAGCAGCCAGATGACTGAACAGTAATCTACGGCCGTTTAGATGGTTGACGACGAGTCTTTGCCTAAGTTCAACGTATGAGAACAGCAGGACAATCAAATTATGTCGTCAGAAACTGCCCTTAAAGTGGAAATAAAGATCGCTTAATTCTAAGCAACACCCGCGTGCCACCGAGACGATTCAACCGAGCCTCCCTTCAGGCAAATCGGCTTCTTTGGAATTGGATAACAGCAGGCTACGAGGCCAGATACCAGATGCGGTCCGTACACTCAACCCAGCCGGATTGTCAATCAAACGTACCTCCTGTCGGTAGATTATCACGGACACTTACTCGCTTTTATTCGCCTCACACGGCTGTACCTCAGAGGATCCCCACTTCCTTACGAGACGGAAGAGGCGTGCTGGTTAATTTATGCTTTCAGGTAATTAATCAATGCCACGAGTCGAGAAGGGTTATGCTGCTGGCTGAACCAAGTCATGGACCCGGTGTCAAATCTTGGGCTGCAGGGGAACCAAAAGTTGAAATCTGACATGCCTGAATGGAGGCACTTCCCGGGCGAGACGGACATAATACGGAGTTGGCATTCCGCCGATACGGGTATGGTCGATATGGACTACATAGCCCATGCAGTCCGACGATATGCCAAGTATACCATATCTGATCTTTGCTGTAAGAGATGACCGTGTGAAGCACGTACATCCCTCGTCAACTACCTGCTGGCGCAACAAATACAAAGACTCCGATATCGGTATCTTGCCTCGCCGATGTATTCAACCCCCGTTGTCACACATGTTTTCCCATAGAAGCACCCGGTTTTGGGGTAAGTGTGTAACAAAGGACCCACGGAGATCGAGGAGAGAAAGCCATGGTCATGGCCGAGAGCAAGCAAAATGAATTGAACAATCCCTGGTAAACTATTTTGTATGTCGTCTTTTTTTTTTTTTTTTTGCATCGCCGAAAAGTCAATATGTGCAAACTGTGACTTCCCAGACATGGTGCG